ACAATCCACAAGCTATTTTCTTCAATTAAAAAAATTCATTTATTTTAATGATAGTTTTAGAACTTTATTCTAAGTCTTCCATATTTTTAAAATTTGTGTCTACCGTCTATTAAAATTACGTCACATAAATTGATGGTAAAGTGAAGTATTAAATAATACTAATAATAATAATAATATATAAGACTGTATTAATCCTGATATATCAATATGTTAATAAATTAAATAAGACAGTATTATTTTGTATAAATAAATAATTTTGCATTATAATCCTCGTATAATTGGGGAATGCAGGGAATGCGGATGATCACTATTCTCTACTCTCGAGAAGACGAAAGTCGAAACCAACAAAAGGGCGTTGCCACTACTAACCACCAAGGGGCTTGAGTGAAAATTTTCAGTTAATCCATAAAAACCGCCAGTAGTGGATTGTATAACAGAATGAAACTGACTTGCAGCTGCCAAACAAGAGCCACATGCACTAGGGTTAATCAAATTCGGCATTGTGAAATCGTTCGTCTTCAAATTCTGGATCATCTCAACAAATACTACGAGTGGAATCATGAACTGTGAAGTTTTCAAGCTGAAAGAACTTGTAAGCATCTCTCTGCTCCCCTCTGAGATTGTTTATGTAGCGAGAATTTGAGCTTCAATGTTATTTTATGTTTCTATTGAAGGATGTGGAGCAATTTGAGATACAAGATGTTCTCCAATGTAAGTCAGCTATTTAAATTTGTAATTTCTTGTTTTACATCAATTTATCCGTAATTTTTGCAATTTATGGTGTCTTCGAGTGAATATCTGTGTATTTTGGGAACTAGTATGCTTAAATTTCGATGTAATTGTAGAGTCCTCAAAATTTCAATGTCTACAGTTCCATCTCTGTTATCTCTTCAGATTTATTTTTCATTATTTAGTTTTTCTGTATACTCATGAATTAAAAATCTTGAATCACGCTGGATTGTTTCCATTGTGTCTGTGAAAGTGAGCCGGGACAAGAGAAAGCTACTTCTCTTGATAATTAAACTCTAAAAGGAAGTGATTAGATATACTTATTTTGACTAAATGAGGAAAATGTTACATTACTATAACTCGAGAGCGTTTAACATATAGCTGCATTAATTCCCTTGAGATGTACCCAAAAAAAATTAATTCACTTGAGATGGCCATAGAAAAGCTATAGATCTGAAGGCAATCATAAACATTATGAACTCCCATATTTTTGTTTCCTGGAGTGCCCTAGTGGAAACTATGAGTTCTTTAAAAGTATTCTTAAGGCTAAAATGGATACATGTTAATCATATACCACAAGATGCCTTAATTAAGATCTTTAACAGGACAAATTCCAGACTAAAATGCATAAGGATTTTCCTTAATTTGATGTGTAACTTTAGGTTATGATGGAGATAGTTTATCATTCTACAAAGTAACGTTGTCGACCAAATTTTGGGAATGTGGGGTGGGTGGATTTCAGTTTCTGATTGGTTTTCTAATAATATTGCTATCATAGGATACCTTGTGTAGCTTTACCCTAAAAAATAGAAAGGTGAAAATGGCTGCAGGCATTCTTCATACAATCATGTTTCACAGAGCATCAGGTCTGATATATCCAAAGAATGTGGATTTGGAACTCTTTGAGATAACATATGTAAGTAATTTCTGAACTGTCAAAGTACTAGGTTGATAATCTATTTATCTCTTTCTTTATTAGTATTAGGTTGGTATTTTGACTCCCCCCTCCCTGCCCTCCCCCTCTTCTTCCCCATTAGTGGTGTATGAATCAATTGTTTGTAGTAACAAAGAATCTGGAACATGTGTTATTCCCAAAGAGTTTTTATTGATTCTTACACTAGGTTATTTGTATAATGTTGCTTTATGATACTGATACTTGAGTCATGCAAAAAAAAATTAAAAAAAATCAATTGTGTTTTCAATAAAATGTTTATTTTTCTCTTCCCCTGAGATTTCCTAGTCCTTATAATCTTATTGTAGAATCAAATGTATGGTTGTAAGTATCTCCATTACAAGAAGTGAAATCTAGTGATGCTTAATTAGGACATAGGACTAACCCAGCATAGTTAGTTCATCATAATGAAAGGGCATGCTATCTATATACAAATTCAACAAATATCTGCATTTTTATTTCTGTCTTCTTTCCTATTTATAATTTTCTGAAAATTTTTGTTTGAAAGCTTCTGTAATTTTGCCCCCTTAAAATTTTCATTTGAATGGAGTGCCAAACAACTATAAGATTTTGAGAACTGTGTGAGGACCATAATTAATTGAAACTGTATGTAAGTAAGTTTCTAAAAAAATTAGAAGTTAAAAAGACTGGATGAGATTTAAGATGATACAAACTTAAATTGAAGTTAAACTAACACTGGCTCTCAATTATAACTTATTAAACCAAGACAAGAAGTTGGTGTATATCCAGAACTTGGGCGGCCCTTAAATTATGTCAATCTAAATGTGAGATCAATGTAATAAGTGATTTTTTTCTGATTTTGAGTCTCCATTCCTTTCCCTTGGTGGAAGGAGGGTTTGATTTTTCTGGTGAGTCTATTCCAAGATGTTTCCAACATTTCCTGATGGCAACTTTTAGTTTCTTCATGTTAAATTAAGCAGATGCAGTGTAATGATGTTGTAATTGAGAGGAAAATTGATGAGAAGATTACCCAATTCATCGATAAGGTGAAGAAGCACCCCAACCAGAAACACCAGGTTCGTGATCCGAGCTTCTCTATTTGACCAAGTAGAATACTTGCTCTATATTCCTTGTTATTTTGTTCCTTTTCACCCTTTTAATTTAACTAGTAATCTCTATTTTTCTTTACATGTGCACATTCCTCATGAGATTTTTCTCATGATATCTTGTAGTCTTTTATTTCGTACTCTTTACTTCCAAAACTGGCTGTATATTACTTAGGAAATGATCTCTGACCTTCTTACTAAGAGATTATTTTGCAACTTAATTGCTGTTGGATTTGGTAGTGGCTAACAAAACTTGTTATTGAAATGTTAAAATGATGCAGATCTGTGTGTCCTTCTATGAATCCAAAAACAAACAGACCTCATGGTTCACAAAGAAAGTTGAACATCGCTACTGGGAACACTGGTACGTAAATTTGAATGTGGCTCATCATCCAAAACCAGATTCTGGCAAGTCTCGTGACTCCAAAGTTGTTAACCCAGAAGGTACTAACTTGTCTTTATTTCTTTGGTTCTACTTGTACAAATTCTGCAGTTTTTACATTTCTGAAGAGAGGAATTTCCCTTTTTGTCTATCAATTATCACAGAGAGTGCACCTGATGAGAGGGAGGCTTGGCACTCAGGACTGGAATTGTCTCTTCGTGAAGTTCTGTTTCAGATAATCAACTTTGTTAAAGAGAAAAAGGACCATATTCCGTTGATAGAAAATCTTGAGGGTGCCTCATTTCCCTTTGAGATCACCATCTCAAGGTAATTTCCCCTCTTTGGCTAAGTTATCCACATGTTATAAACTTTTGGTAGTTATTCGGGTCAGTAAAAATGGTTTTGCAAGTTTGACTGTGCAAGCTATTATGCAGGCTATGCATAAGCTGTGTCTTATCAATTTCAAAAAACAAGCTGTCACTTGTTCAGATCACTGCTGTGTCGCTTCTGTTTTCTTACGTCTGTTTCTTTCTTATTAGCATCATTAGGAATTATGAATGACATGGATGTTACTAGCATGAATATTTTTTCCAGAAATGAGAAGATATAATTTGCCTTTTGCTGCCATGATATTTATGATATCTTCTTGTTACTCTATTCTAGGCATTGAGGAAGGTTATTAGCTTATTTTGAATGTCCTTGATCTTTTCTCTGAAAATTTAGCAATCCCTTAATTATAATAGTTTTTCACAGGGACAAAAGGATTTATATGTTCAATATCAGTTCCCCCTTTGCCCAACCATATCGAGGAAAATAAATGCAAATATCAGTTTGTGTGCTGGTGACAAACTAGTGGAAAATCGAATTCAATTGAAGGAGGATTTTTATTGCAAATCTTTCTTTTTATAGAAATTTAAAGATTGTATTGATCTAGCTAAGTTATGTATTGCTTTCTTTTAGTTTATCAGATTCTGCTTTTGGGATGGAACTGCTCAAGAGAATGCTCCCGCATGGCAATCGACCATGCTCGGCTGACTTGCAGTTTCTAAAGGGATCTGATTCTGTTTAACTTCATGATTGGGGTAAGGTACAATTGTTGTCATCTGATGTCTGAAAATGGTGAATGTTAGTTGTAAATGGGGGAGGCTTCTGGCAGATGACTAGCTCAGCTGAACGAAATGAAAATCATATGTACATATCATACTTGTCAAAACTACAGTTTTGCTCCTTTCTCGTGTTACATGCCATTTCGCTATATGAACGTGGTCCCTAGATCAGCTATGGAGTAAAGAAATCAACACGATCAAACTTTAATCACATTTTGTTAACATTGCGAAATACTCTCTCTTCTTCCCTTCTAGTATTTCTAGTTTCCTTAATTTTTATATTGTTTGATTTTTCTATTATAAATGCCGTGTACGAAATGCAAAATGGACATGGCCATTTTCAGCAGCCATGGACTACTCTAACTTCTATGGAAGAGCCTTGCTAATATGCCCTGGGTCTGCTCCTGAACTTGTACCAGTGAAACAAAGATTGCATCTGTCGAAAGCATTTATTAAGCCCAGTATCTCTACTTCGTTCATCCTGCTAGAACAATATGATTAAATGGATTTGTAGATCACCTGACATGATCACAGACACGAGTACCTCTTCAAATCCATATAGACACTTGAACATGCTCCATCAAAAATTAGCTAGTCTAGTAACTTACTAATTTCACATTGAATCATCCGTTCAAGATTATTTCACATTTTAATGAAGATAAAAAGCAGCGCAAGCATACACACTATGTTTGCAAAGGAAATACTAGTAGATAGTATGACAGGAGGTAATAGTTGAGTGACCATCTAAAGATATTAACTCGAGGTAATCAATGAAAGGATAAGAATTACATCTCAAATATTTGTTACAATGTTTTCATCATCCATTGCCTTTTCTAGGAAGCCATCTAATTTAAGATTTCAGAGGGGAAGAGGGACAGCTCTGAGAGGAAGAAGTTTGGCCAAGGTGAGGCCAAATTTTTCCTGCATGTCCAAGTCTTTTGGTGCAATGTCACCCTCAATTTTCCATTTAAATGTATTCAACAGTGTGCCAAGCATTACTGGGATCGTCCTTATTGCCAATGGCAGACCAGGACAAATTCTTCTACCAGCCCCAAATGGAATTAACTCAAAATCTTGACCTCGCACATCCAATTTTGAATCCTTAAATCTATCAGGATTAAACACCAAAGGGTCTTCCCATAGAGTTGAGTCCCGGCCAATTGCCCACACATTAATCAACACTTTTGAACCTTTAGGGACAGTGTAGCCACACACCTCAACATCTTGTTCTGCTTTTCGAGGAACCAAAAGAGGAGCTGGAGGGTGCATCCTGAAAGTTTCTTTAATAATGCACTGCAAGTAAGGGAGTCGGGCAATGTCAGCTTCGTCCATCGGTTTACCTTCTCCGAGGAGTTCTACCAGCTCGGCTTGGACTTTCTTCATAATCTCTGGAGCTCTAAGAAGCTCAGTCATAGCCCATTCCACTACGTTCGAACTTGTATCAGTTCCGGCATTAAATAGGTCCTGAGATACACTGAAAACTTTGAGGTGAAAATTACTCAAGAAATTAGTGCGGATAATTCACCGAGGTTAATTGAATTCAGTATTTTCACAGGAAACATAGGTAGGGAGTTTTGGTTTTGTAGCTCTTGTTTTTAGTTTTATGTCTTTTCTATAAGAGATCTGATCATTTTCTCATCATATTTTGTTAACTGTTATATACTCTATGTTAAGAGAATAAAAAAAACAGGGCAATCTAGTAGCTTAGTTGGTACTTTCCAATCAATAAAAAAAATGGAAGGATAATTAAAGATAGCTCACCAAACAAAATGATGCTATATGGTTGTGATTAATCTCTTGGGGAGTATGTTCACTTGTTGTGATTAAGGCATCTAAAACATCAGTATTTTAATAGTTTTGGGATTTCCTTAGCTCCAGCCTCTCATTTATCCATTCATAAAATATCTTTAGTAGTTTCCCGAAAGGAGAATTATATCGCCTTAAACTTAACGGATCTACTATTTTGAGGACGGGAAAGTAATCCACCAAGCTTGGTTTACCCATGTACATCATCATTCCCTCCACCAATTCCTTGCCGGAATTTTCAAAGGGATCCGCCAAATCTCTTGAGAAGAGAGTGTTGGAAAATAAATTCAACATGGTCCTGAAAATTGCTGCACCAATATCTACCGCCTCCCCCATTTGGCTACTCCTTTCACAGTAAACAATAAGTTCTTCAATCCTCTTGTACCTTACAGAAAATATCATTCAGTAAATAAGTAAAACTCATGTGTTTTCTCTAAAAGTTTAACTTAATTACTTTTTGATATGCTATATGAAATCATGATTTCAAATTATTAGTTAAAATCAGGACATGTAATTTGAAATTAAATTTTTAGATGAACATAGGATATATACCTAAGGTGCTGGGTGGCATCAAGCTTGTTAACGGAGAAGATGTGGGAATTCAGGATTTTGCGGAGAGATCTCCATTGAGGATGGGAGGCAGGAAGCCAACCAAAGGAGAATATGTGAAAATTGTCCTCTTGGACTATATCAGGAATTGACCTGCTAGAGAAGGCTAAGTCTTGCTTTTGGAGCACTTGTTTGGCCATGTCTGAAGAAGAAATGACCACTGTTGTTATTTGCCCCAACTTCAGACGCATAATTGGGCCATGAAAATCGGTGAGTTTCGCAAGGGATTTATGAGGTTGATTGCCCAGTAAGTGAAGATTTCCGATTATGGGTAATGGAAAGGGTCCTGGACGAAGCTTTCTGCTTCTATTTCTTGTTAGTGCTACTAGTAACAAATTGAAGCCTTGGACCAAAGTCCATGCAAGCAACAGAGCTAGAGGAGTGGTAAAATAGTAATAATAATCCATAGTTATTACTACTAATTAACATAAAAAAGAACATGAGTTTTAGACATAAATTTATGGTGGTATATACTGTGGAAGAGTGTCAATAGAACAAGCTTATCTAACGAATAACAGTTTTTGATCACTCAATCGGCGAAATGTGTAACACGCTAAGTCGCTGACTATTAAATTTAAGGGGAAGTCGGGCGTTACTAGTAATAGGGATGATATGCTACTAAATCTACCATTTTAGTTCGATAATTTCAATTATCAAATTTAAAAATATTATCATTATCATATTAAATTCATATCTATGGTTCAATGTTATATAGAAATATAATTTTGATTTTTCAAAAAACTTCTCAATTAAATTACACTAAAGTAGCATTTTACACGTATAAAAATATTCAATATAAATAAATAATACAAACGATTCCCTTCTTATCATGAATCATAATTCAAACATCTAAATAATTAATTTTACTAATATTATTTTATATATTTACTATTATATGATACATATATATGACTATTTACCTCATTTGATATTTCAATATTTTTTTTTAAACATGTTGTACTAATATATTTAGGGTGACCTATCAAATGAGTAACATTTATTATTGGCCATCTAATAAATGGTTTGACATTTAATATGTGGAGTACGATTCACCTCATTTTCTTCCCCATCTCTTTCTTAGGAAGTAACTATAATTTCCTTCCCTACAAAATGTACATATACTAAATTATTTATTTATTGGAAATGAAATGTTAGTTACAATGTTTTCATCATCCATAAAACATTGCCTTTTGTAGGAAGCCATCTGATTTTGGATTTCATAGTGGAAGTGGGACAGCTCTGAGAGGACGAAGTTTGGTTAAGGTGAGGCCAAATTTCTCCTGCATGTCCAAGTCTTTTGGTTCAATGTCACCCTCAATTTTCCATTTAAATGTATTCAACAGTGTGCCAAGCATTACTGGGATCATCCTTATTGCCAATGGCATACCAGGACAAATTCTTCTACCAGCGCCAAATGGAATTAACTCAAAATCTTGACCTCGCACATCCAATTTTGAATCCTTAAATCTATCAGGATTAAACACCAAAGGGTCTTCCCAAAAAGTTGAGTCTCGGCCAATTGCCCACACATTAATCAACACTTTTGAATCTTTAGGGACAGTGTAGCCACACACCTCAACATCTTGCTCTACTTTTCGAGGTACCAAAAAAGGAGCTGGAGGGTGCATCCTGTAAGTTTCTTTGATAATGCACTGCAAGTACGGGAGTCGGGCAACATCAGCTTCCTCCATCGCGTTGCCTTCTCCGAGAACTTGTATTAACTCGGCTTGGACTCTCTTCATAATCTCTGGAGCTTTAAGAAGCTCAGTCATAGCCCATTCCACTACGCCGGAACTTGAGTCAGTTCCGGCATCAAATAGGTCCTGAGATACGCACACAATTTTGAGGTGAAAATTACTCATGAAATTAATCATGCAAACCGGCCACATACAGATAATTCACCAATGCAGGCATATTTAATGATTTCAGTATTTGTCAACAGGAAACATAGGTGGTAAAATTTAGTTGTGTAGCCCTCCACAAACTTGTTTTTAATTTTATATCCTTTCTACAACAGATCTTCATTTAGTAACTTAGTTGGTTAGCATGAACTTTTACTTTTGTGGGTCAGGACTCACGAGGGTTTATTGCAAACCCCCCAGGCCAATCAATTAAAAATAGAAAGAGAATTAAAGATAGCTCACCAAACACATTGTTGCTATATGCATGTGATCAATTTCTTGGGGATTCTGTTCACTTGTTGTGATTAAGGCATCTAAAACATCAGTGTTTTGATAATTTGGGGATTTCCTTATCTCCAGCCTCTCATTTATGAATCCATAAAATAGCTTTAGTAGTTTCCCCAAACGAGAATTATATCGCCTTAGACCTTCCGGATGTACTATTTTCAGGACGGGAAAGTAGTCTACCAATTTTGGTTTACCCATGTCCATCATCATTCCCTCCATCAATTCCTTAAATTCTTTACCAGAATTTTCATACGGATCTGCCAAGTCCTTTGAGAAGAGAGTGTTAGAAAGTAAGTTCAACATGGTCCTGAAAATTGCATCATCAATATGTACCGCCTCCCCCATTTGGCTACTCCTTTTACAGTAAGCAACAAGTTCTTGGATCTTCTTGTACCTTATAAAAAACATGATTAAGTAAATAATTAGTGTAAAACTCATGTGTTTTCTCTAGCAGTTTAACTTAATTATTTTTTTATATGTGATATAAAATCATTAGTTAAAATCAGAGCCAGGAGTTAGGACATGTGATTTGAAAAATCAAAATTTCTATGTGATTTAACATGTCGAATCATGCTTTCAAATTTTGTAAAAAAAGATCCATCGTTGCGAAAAGAAAAAAAAGACTCATGTTTAGCATAAAGAAATTGTATGTACACTGTCTTAAAGATTATATTAAACAATAACTAGTTACTGAGTAGTATTTTCATTGACTAGTGGATCTTTATAAAATTAGTTGTATTTGGAAGTTATTTATAAAAGAAACATAAAGATACATGATTTGTCAATGTATCGTCTTAGGATATCACGATATCTTATTTATGAACTATTATTTGCTTATTTGGTAAGATTGTATTAGAAATTTATGAACTATAATTTGCTTATTTGGTAATATTGTATTAGAATTGAAATTTTTCTATGGTTTTCACAACTTGTAGAATTTTCCTATTTATGAGAAAAAATACATCTTCAAAAATTTAAATTGCGTGTCTCACCTTTATATCAACCTGATTTCATATCACATTGTCCAAACGAGCCCAAAGAATTTTGAGATATTAGAGCAAATAGAAGTTCTGAGTCAAATCTCACTATCATTGTTATCAAAAATATCTAGCTTCTAAGGAAAACATAATTAATTAAACAAAGTTTGATTTCTTTAACTGTTTAAATTTTTAGATGAAGACGTAGTCACACAATACGTACCTAAGGTGCTGACTGGCATCAAGCTTGTTAATGGAGAAGATGTGGGAAGTCATGATTTTGCGGAGAGTTCTCCATTGAGGATGGGAAGCAGGAAGCCAACCAACGGAGAACATGTGAAAATTTTCCTCTTTGACTATATCAGGAATTGACCTGCTAGAAAAGGCTGAATCTTGCTTTTGGAGCACTTGTTTGGCCATGTTTGAAGAAGAAATCACCACAGTTGTTATTTGCCCCAAATTCAGACGCATAATTGGGCCATGAAAATCGGCGAGTTTGGCAAGGGATTTATGAGGTTGATTGCCCAGTAAGTGAAGATTTCCGATTATGGGTAATGGAAAAGGTCCTGGAGGAAGCTTTCTGTTTCTACTTGTTGTTAATGCTACTAACAAATTGAAGCCTTGGACCAAAGTCCAGGCAAGCAAGAGAGCTAGAGGAGTGGTATAATAATAATAATAATAATAATCCATACTCTTTAACGTTATAAAAAAAAAATGCGTTTAACTAATTTATCACTGGCTATATGATCAAGATCATGAGTTCTAGACATGTATTTATAGTGGTATATACCGTAGAATGTCAAAATTAATACTGTAACAGTAGGGTTGGGTATTGTATGATATTTACCATTTCAGTTCCATAATTTTGATTGTCGGTTTTTAAAAGTACTATCTACTATATTATTATTTTATCAAGTTCATTTGGTATGATTCAATGTTTTAAAGTTTGTTTCAGTATTTTGTAATTATGAGAAATTGATACTGATGATTTATTTTACTTCGATTGACATATATACTTAAATGATAAAGAATTATAAATTCAAATTTTTAAAAAACGTTTGAATTATATCATACTAGCATAATATTTTATACCTGTAGAATTTTTTTTTAAAAAAAATACAAATAATTTCCTTCATCAATCAATTACACAAAAACAACTCAATCAAAATTCAAACATCTAAATAATTAATTTTCTATTAATACTATTTTTTATATTTGCTAATATATGACTTATAATGTAACTATTTATTTCGATATAGTATTCAATATTTCATTATATATTATAAACATCGAATATCGTGTCATATATAAAAAAAAATCACCAAATCAAAATAACAATTTCAAAAATATCAATTTTCAGATGTTCCACCATATTGACCGTACCATGACCCCTCATGTTCTCAGAATTGATTCATTTGTGGAGTACGTTTCACCACATTTTCCCTGCTGCAGCAGAATGCATTATTGGTTCACATGGGAAAAAGTATGATGACGGACTCTCTTGTTGTTATCCATTAAAACCAAGCGGTCGACGCATTTTTGTCGTTTGATGTGATGGTCAAGAAAAAATAATTTTAGATTTTAGTACCCTCAGTTTTTTGTTTGGTTACAAAATGTGGGGTAACTAATTATATCAGGATTAATAATTATGACTAAATAAACTATCTCTACTTGTGGTTGGAATACTAACTCCGAAATAACGTATCCCAAATAAAAATATAAAATAAATATCCCTTAAACTCTCTTTTATAAACAAACAACTTATTCTTAGAGGTTATTTTTGTAAACAAACAAATATTCTTAAAAATATGTCATGCATATTTGACAAACCAAACAACCAATAAAAAATAATTTCATTATCTTATCTCAATATAACTTTTCTCATCATAACTTATCCCAGCATACCAAACGACCCCTTACTCTATCTCTCCCCAAAATATGTAATAGTAATACGTAACTATTGAAAGTTAATGTACTCCCTCTATTACAATTTATATGACTTACTTTTTTTTTAATCTGTTTTAAATTTAATAACATATTTTTATATTAGTATTAACATTTTTATATAATGAATAAGAGTTCTTATTCCATTAAGGGGGTTTGAAAAAAAAAAATAGTATTGCCTAAGATTTGATATTGGAACCTCAAGGTGAGTTTGGAACCCCTCAACCACTAATTCAATCTCTAATCTTACATTTAGGAGGTTCAATATCAATATAGAGACATAAAAAATCTTTAAAATATATTAAATATACAATGTAATTTTTTACCAAATGGGTTCGAATGAACCCCTCAACAACCTCTAGGTCCGCCCCGGCT